GCACATTCGTACATTTATTTTCTCCCAGGAGAAGATATACAAAAAAGGATCAGAGCTGACACGCATCAATCATGCTGCTCAACATGCTGCCATCCCGGGAACTTGTGGCAGAAATCAAATAAGCTGAGAAAAATAATTCACTTTCTCTCTACCCAATGCCCCAAAGTTCACATAAAAAAGCATTTGAGTCTTAACAACAGCAAAAAAAGCCTTGACAGGAAAGAGGAAGAGGCATCTAGGTAAAGGAGTCAGACACCACCAAGATGCAGAACTAGTCCCCCGTGTCCTGCCCCTGGGTGTGTCACACCGAGGTGCCACTGTTGGCTTCTTATCACAATCAGCTTTACAACCCAGGCAGCACTGATAATGCTGAGGCCTTTACCAGGAGGCAGAGAGGCAAGAGTCCTTTCTAATCTTGCTTTTCATCCTGGGTTTGCAACAGAACTCTAACCTAAGGCTTCATTCATATGTACATGGTACAGATGTTTACTTTAAAAAAAAGAAAAGCTAAGCTGAAGAAAAATAGCCCAAAGTTATTTATTTTGAAAGAAGAGCTATTTGTTAAGTCTATTCCAAACCAACTTTAAGATATTCACATTAGAATAACTGCCTACACAGCTTTGTGCAGCCTTTCAAATGCACGCCATAAATTACATCAGTGCAATTTGACATGGAAATACTCTAAAGACTTGTTAAAACCTCCTCTTCCAAGCGCAGCTGTGCTGGCTGGAGAGGCTGCCTGCCCTGGTCTTCCTCCACTGTTTGTCCCCTCCATGGGCTGGAAGGACCCCACCCCAGGCTGCTGGCCCAGCTCTTCACAACAGGCTCAGGTAAAACGAGACACTTTTTTTCCCCAAAACAGGTTAATTGCATAATGAGGTACTTGAGAGAACTAACCTATCCTCTTTCAGAGGAACAGAAAGGAGGCAGGCTTGAACCAGAACTGCATGAACAACTCCAGATGGGAAGTGCCTGTGCCTTCCTGTCCTGAGCTCCACCCCACCAGGAAGGCAGAGCTGCCCATTCAATGCCTCCAGATTCAGGGTCTCAGTGATGTATCCGGAGCAGCCCCACAGGTTGAGCAATGCTCTGAGCAATGCAAAGAGCCAGAGATGACCACATTCCAGCAGGGCCCCTATCCTTTGGAGAGCCCTTGAGTCCTTCTTGAGAGAGGCTGAGGTCGCATCACACGAGCAGCAAGGCCACTTGTGTGACTTCCTCCCGAGCACAGCAGCGACAGTGACACCTACCCAGCTGCAGCCCCATGAAGACAGCCCAGCAAGGAGAGCTGCTGGCCTGGCCCTGGGGTGGGCAAGGCAGGGACAGCAGCAGCCCAACGTGTGCAGAGACAGCACCAGGTGAGCACCATCCCCTGCTGGCACTGGCACTGTCCTCCCACTGTGCCACACAGGTCCCTGCCTCCTTCTCATGCTTCATCCAGCAATTCGGGAAATTCTAGTTTAGCAGACAAATCCATTGAAAACAGGACTGCCAAAGAGGAGCTTCACAGGGACTATGTTTTCTTCTTTCCAGGCATGGATCCATTCCAGGTGCAGGACTGAAGAGCTGTGCCCACCTGGATGCACTAAGCTTTTCCTTCTAGAGAGGGAAAGAACCAGCCCTGTATGTGAAGTGTGATCTGGTGACAAATGGAAGATATGGATCAGAAACACACATGGCACCACCACGCATCTAAACACTTCTGGGAGGACAGCTGGACTCAGGAGCCAGCCCTCAGGAGAAGGATCTGTGGGAGGGAATAGGAGAGACAGAGGGAGGAGGAGAGCAGAGCACCAAGATGGGCAACAGACCAAGAGTACCAACCATGGTCAGTGCCTCTGTCAGGAAGTGGCTGGGAGGAGCTGGAGGTCACTATACAAACACCCATGTCCAAAGAAAAGCAAACAGGTACCTCAAAGGGGGATGGAGAAGGGAGTTTGAGATGGTTGTCTTTCCTGGTCTAACTTTGTTTTCATTACTACTACAACCAGAAGTGAAATAGTGTAAAAAACCAAAACCAAACAACAAATGTCTTCTATTTTCTATGATTTCTATTTGCCTTCAGTAAGAAAATCAGCTCATATTTTATGCAAAGATTCATGAGAGGCTCAGGTCCTGAAAAGCATCACCAAGAAAGACCATTCCAAGAGTGAGAGAGACAGCAGAATGTATTCCTCAAGGCAAATCCCAAGGGATGGGTCCATCCTGCACAACCCAGGGTGGGCATGTGAGCTCCCAGCATGGCTAATGGAGACCAGATGGACATGCGAAGGCATCAGCAACACACACTGGAAGTGACTCACCAGCCATGTGATGGGAGCAAAACTGAGATGATTTGGTTTGGGAACCATCAGCCCATCCTGGAAGATTCTCAGGGAACTGCTTCACCCAGAGGTGAGATAATGATCTTGGCTGATAAACAGGTAGAGCAATTAGGGAGACATTAAACTAAGAGCACAAGAGAAGTGATTCTGAAGAGGGAAACCAGCACAAATGCAGAATGTCAGAAGTAATTAAACCCATCTGACAAAGACTGTGATGAAGATTGTTTTTTTCCTTCCACTTTGCTCAGTGCAAAATGCAAGGAAGCTGGATAAGAAGGAAAAGGATGTGACTGCTTTTCCTGGTAACCAGAATTGTGATGCAACTGTCAGCTCTGAAATCCGTGGATAATTACACTATGTTGGGATACTAAGGACACCTGCTTGTTAGGAGGATGAGAAAGCACTGAGTGGGCAAGGAGGAGCAGAGAAAGAGTTTACATCAAAATCCCATTACCTGCCATGTGGTCAACCCCCCCGGCCCCTCTCTATAGCAGGAGGTAAGGTGGGGTCCCATCCCAGAGATGTGGGGTCACCCCCATCCTCCCAAACACACCCGGGGGGCCAGCAGGCAGGGACCTGCAGGCAGGCAGCAGTCTGGCTGGAGCCCACACTCTTAAAAACCTCTCAGAAGTGGAGTCATGACATTGAAGCCACAAATAGGAAAGGAAAACGGGAGAAAATACCTTCAAATGAGAGACTGGAGGAGTTTGGCCTCTTTAATTAAGGAAGGAAAGATTGAAAGTTGACTTGATTACCATGTATAAATACCCTCATGTGAAGACATACCAGGTACTAAAGCGCTCTTTAATCTAGGAGATAAAGTATAACGACAGCTGGAAGCTGAAGCATACAAATTTAAATGAGATACGAATTTTAAACAGGGAGAGTGATTAACAAAATAAGGAAGGAAAGGCACAGATCTTCTGTTCCTTGAATCAAGATTGATGACTTTCTGGAAAACATGTTTAAGCTTTGCTTAGAGAACAGACACACAGAGAGGGTGGTGAGCAGCCTGCAAGATGCAGGAGGTCAGGTCAGATGGTACAATAGCTCTATCTGGTCTTATATCCCAGGAACCCCTGATTACTGAACAGCCATTTTATATCAGCCTTTCATGTTCACAAAACAGATTGTAAAGCAGTAATTAAGTCTTTTTGCACAATAATTAGGACTCCAGAAGTGAGGTGTCCAAACCTTCTCTGCTCCAACAGCCTATTTTCACATCTCATAGCATCCACCCTGGTTTTGCCCTTGGTTCTGAACCAGATCCAATGACTGTTTGGGTCGGGTGTTTTCCCCTCTTCCCCCTCTACATTTAACACGGTCTTTTCAGTACTCAAGGAGCTTCCACCCTCCTCTGAAATAACATCTGGGTGCAAACTGTAACAGATCCAAACCTCTGTGCCACCAACTCCTCAAGCAGCACGCTGTCCTCTGCAATATCAGGTACTCTGGAAATCTGCTTTAGAAGAAGCTCTCCTTTCTTTATAAGGAGAGATCCCTCAAAGTGCTTGTAAGACCTTGGGCAAAGCTGAGCCCCACAGGGAGCTGAGCTGCCTGGCCAGGCTGCAGGGCACACAGTGGTGGCTCTCCTGCTGTCAGCAGCTGCTCACTAGGACACCCAACTAGGGTCACGCAGGGTGGCTACACCAGCAAACTAAACAGCATAAACTTTCCTGGGTGCTGTTCAAATGGTTCTTGCCAGAGTTTGTCTGCACCAGCTTTCACCCTCCCCACAGAGGAGCTGGCTGAGGCCATTCCCAAAGGGAAGTCCAGAGGCAGCCGTTTTATCTGAGAGGGTAAGAGAGGTTAATAGTGTGAGCAACACCAGACTCTGCCACCTGACCTTGGTGCTGAAAACTGGCCTAGACACACAGAGCGCAGGAACAGAGGCAGCCAGTGTTTCAGAAACCACCTGAGAAACCATCCACCTGAACCAGAGAGAGAAAATTAATCATCAGATTGGAGTCTGCTCCTGGGTTGGAAATGTGCCCATGACTCACACACAAAAGTCCAACTCTACAATAAACACTAATAAGCTGCATTACTTTAAAATGGGAAGAACAAAAGCAGTAACTCCTCCCTCAGAAAAAGACTAGGAGACTGCACAGCAGGGGGAGTGGGGAGAGGTCCTTCCTCACCACCCCATGAGTGTGGAGAACATGCAGGAGCCTGATCCACACTCCTTACAGCCAGGAGCCTGCAGGCAGCCCAGCAGCCAGAGCTTCAGCCACCAGGCTTTTCTGGGTGAAATTTGCTCATATAGATGGGAGAAAAAAACAGAGGAAGCCAGAGGCCAAACTGCTTCATGAGGAGATTCTCAGGCAGCAATTCACATTCACCCAACTTGTCAGTCCCAGAGACAGCCCCATCCTCCCCAGAGCCCCACCAAAGATGGGCCCCACAGCTCTCCCACTTCATGACGTGTTCTCAGACTCTTTCTCTTCACACAATATCTTCTGGCAAGAGCCAAGAGTAACTGCATGCTCCCAAGACCCAAGCAGCATAAGAAGACACACTCCTGAGAAACTCCACCGACATTCCTCCGTTCCAAACCTTACATTTGCTAGCCCTCCTCAAAAACAACCACTCCCCCAAGTCCCACTGTGTCCCTTGGACACCTTCTCCCCAAGCCCTGCTCTGTCATCCTCCCCTCTCCAGAGAAGCCAGCCTCACCTCCAGTATCTGGATCATGAAAGTTGGGGTCCAGTCCCTTCTCCAGCAGCCTGCAGACCTTCTCAGCATTCAGCATCTGCACGTACTCCATGAACTTCTTCAGGTTCGCCTGCAGCCATGACACCCCAGGAAAACACAGTGTTAACACCCCAGGATGAGGAAAGAAGCCACCAGAGGAATATCCCCATTCTGGAGACCCAAGGCAACCATCAGGAGAGTTGGGGCAGCACCCACCAGAAGCCAGGGCACACAAGGGCATGCAGCACATTGACATGGAATATGGTCCTTCCATGCTACTCCTTGAGGCTGAGATTGCTGTATCACCACACGCCAGGGGCTGCCAGCCCCACCCTCACCCCCACAAGACCCCTGCTGTGATTTTCTGTCTTTGGCCAAAGCCTACATCTTGCTCTCCTCAGGGGACTGGGCGCCCAACAGACTCTTCTTTAAGCCAGCCTGGTTGTGGGTGGTTGTTTTTTCCCCCTTTTTTCTCTTTTGGATTAGCTATAGCTGACGAATACATTATTTTATTAAATTTCCAGACTCCAGAAACAGCAGCTCTGCCAGACAGGCCATGCTTGGACTGACTGCAGGATGAAAACACCCAGCTCAGACACATTTCCAGCCCAGACTTCAGACCCTTGATCGCACGTTGGCTGGGGTTTTTCAGTTCGCTTCAATCAAGCCGTGCAGCAGCTGTGGGAAAGGGACTCTAGAAAGGGTCTGAGACAGAGCAGAGGGATGTCTGTGGGAAAAGCTCTGCCCAGCTGGTGGAGCTGCAGCCAGTGGTCAGGGAGCTGCTCTCGTGGACCACCACGCAGCTGGCTGAGCACCTCTGAGCAAAGCAGATTTTTCACCCAGTGAGAAAACTCAAGTTTTAATGTTTTTCCATAATTTTATATAGAAAAATGGTATCCCTTCATGCAGCAAAATGAACTACAAAGTGCTTCACTTGAAATTTTATTTTGAAGGTCTCCAGTTGGAAAATAGGAAAAAGAAATCTGAAAATACCAAACAAGGTACAGAAACATCTCCAATTATTTCCAAAGGCTTCCTGAACAATATGTCATCATACATTATTTTGCATAATACTTTGATTTTGTCATAATTTAATTTTCTATGGGGAAGACAACTTTTAGAACCAGTCCTACAGAGGACCCTGCAAACCCCAAAACTTGGGACCCACAAGTTCATCTATGCTATTTCTCTGACGCGCTGAGGAGCTCAAGGTAAGAAGTCAGACAGAAAACATCACCAGGATGAAACTTTCCAAGGATGAGACAAATTAATGCTTCACTGTGAACCTGACTTAAACCAAATTCAGCCTCTGTGTGGTTAAAGAATCCAGCCTAAAACATGTAGCACATGCTTTTCTAAATCCAGCACCACGGAGCCGCGTTGCCAGCAAGCCAGGTCACATATTTAAAATTCTAAAGCATTTTTCCTGCACTAGCCCCTGCGAGGGTGGGTGCTCCATCTCAGCAGAGCTCAGGCAAAACCCTGAGGGAACACAGCTCCATGGCACTGGGAGAGGCCGAGGCCAGAGAACAGACATGGAACCAACAGAGCCACAAACATGGGGTCAGTCCCTCTGGTGCCACAGGGATGCTGGGGCAGGAAGGTGAGAGCCAAGAGGAGCAGGGGTTTGCCCGGGACAGAGCAGGATTCACCAGGGATGGAGCAGAGATTCTCTGGGGACACTGGATGCTGGGCTGTTTCCTCAGTGAGGAGCAGGTCCCCACTCCCCATCCCGGCCATGCTGCCCATCCCTCACATCCCTCAAGACCCAGGCAGGGCCACTAGGATGGACTCCATGGAACAGCCAGGCAGTGCTCAAGAGCACAGAGAACCACTTGGAGGGAAATAAGGGCTGGGTAACCCCTTCCAGAAGGTGCTGGAAATGTCCACACACGCTGTCAGCAACTCCCAGAGCACCAACACTCTGTCACGAGTGCAGCAAAGGGGCAACTGATGGCAGCAGGGCACAAGCACAGCCTTTGGGTGACAGGACATCCCCTGGCCCTTGCTGCTCTGTGCTGCTTCTCCCCCAGACCTCCTCTTGCTTCACAAGAAACTGAAAGCAAAATCCCCCTGCTGCTCCAGCATCCCCTCAGCTACTGCAGAAGCACAGAAACGCTGAAGGAGATCACAGCTGCCTGCCAGCAATAGCACAGACGGGACTTGACAACTCCAGCAACCGCCTCCGGGATGCCATCCCAAAATGCCTCTTCCCAGCCATCGCCCGATGGCGCAGATTTAACCCTGTTCCTGCCTCTTCTGTTTGTCCACACTCTTCCCCAGCAGCTGTTCAGCAGACAATGCTGACCCAACTCCACAGATGATGCTCCACGTGTAGCCCCACGGAACCAAAGGCACTGCCAGTCCCACTCTGAACCACAGCAGTGGTTGTGGGACACATGGAGGCACCAGCCAAGGAAGGGACACCCCACTACACGGCCCATCCCCTCAGTGCCAGCAGCTCCTCCACCAGCAGCTCTGCTGGGGCCTCCAGGGACAGAGAGGCCCTTGTGCTCTCCCTACAAGGACAAACATGGCCCCTCAGCCTGGGCAGCATCATCATTTTATGCTGCTGCCGGACACACCCCGAGCATAACTCGAAGTTCTGCTCCTGAGGTTCTGCCAGAGACCCTCATTCACAGCCCCAGAAGTGCATCCCACCCACACCAGAAGCACCCAGCAGCCCTGTGCTCATTTGTATTCCTAGTTTTCCAGGTGCTCAGGAATTTACATTGTTTTTTGCCAGTAGGAAGCTGAGGCACTATGTCAGCTTCTAATGGTGCTTTTTATACTTAGAAAGCAAAGAGAAAGTACGTGAGCAAAAGGAGGACACAGAGTGAAGCATCCTGGATCCTGGGAGCTGCATTCTCCCGATGGAGATGTCTGTTCCTCATTCTGGAGATGCCTGTTCCTCATCACGCTCCTGTGCACCTCTCAGGCATCAACAGCTCCACACATGGAATTTCCCTCTGGGCAAAACCAATTTCTGCCCTGCATTTCCAGATGAAGAACAAAGGAGGTTCATCTATCCAAGGTCTCAGACCAAATCCACAGCAATGCTTCATAGAATCATAGACTCCTAGGGGTTGGAAGGGACCTCGAAAGACCATCTAGTCCAACCCCCAATTGTTCAAAAACAATTTATAAAATCCGGAGATGTAACCAGTTACCTTTTACATAGAAAAATACCCTCTTTCCACCTGCCTAGGGCTGCCTGCTCTGCAGCGTGCTCAGGTGTGCAGCTTGGTGTCCAGTTCAGGGGCTGCTGCAGTTCACAAGCAACTTCACACTCTGGGGACGGGAGAGACACCAGCGTGGGGGTTTCTGATCCTCTCTGGCCCCATTCTGTTCCTCACGTTTGGCCACAGGCCTCAAGGAACAATGAAAATGCCAACAAAAACCAATAATATAGATAATGAGAAAGACCATTTGCCAGTGGTGTAATGTTATAGTGTTACCAGAATCCCATGCCCAGGATTTGGGAACAGCTGGCAGCAACCACGCAACTGGTAACTTGCCTGCGGGCCCCAGAAGCAGCAGAGCCCAACACCTCCCAGTATTCAGTTTTCAGTTTCCTACCTTTTATCAAGAGAGTGCATCATTAGGTCAACCAAGATGTTTTCCAGAAAAAAAAGTTGGGAGAAAAAAAATCATTGTTTCATTCAAGTTCAGTATTTCTATGGCCACAGAGACACCATTTCTATGCACAAATCCTGGGCAGGCAGTCTGCTGCTTTCCCATAGCTCTACTGTGCTACCACAACAGCCAGATTTGGGAAATAACAGAAATTGCTTTAGGTAAAAGATGAGAAATTGCTAATTGAGATCCTGGGCTACATAACAAGAAGCTTGGCCAGCAGGGCAAAGGAGGGGACTCTACCTCCCAGTGGTGAAACACTGGCCCAAGTTGCCCAGAGAGGTGGTAGAAATCTCAGCCCTGGAAATGTTCAAGATCAGGTTGGACGGGGCTTGGAGCAACCTAGTTTACTTGAAGATGTCCCTGCTCACTGCAGGGGGTTGGTCTTGATGGCCTTGGAAGGTCCCTCCAACCCAAGCCAATCTGTGATTCTATGATATGCCTGAAACCATTTCATCAAGATCCAGGGACTCTCTTCCTTGGAGGCCTCTCATGCATCTTGCCTTTTCAGCCCAACAACTGGAGATCTGAACTCCCTGCCAAACTCCCTGCTCATTACCAGCATCTCCTGGGTGTCCTTCAGAGTCCCTGGAGAGCAGCTGCAGCAGGTCTGGGGAGTCTCCATGGAGGAGGGTGCCCAGACCCCATGGACACCTTCCCACAGCCCTCAGGGGCCCTTTCAGATGTTTTGGTCAGAGCCTGTTGCCAGTGCGTTGGAAGCAGTGGTGAAACAGGTACTTGGCACCCCCAGAGCACGGGGCAGCCCCCACCACGGGGCCCAGCACCGTGCGGTGCAGCCAGAGCCCCCGCAGTCCCCGGGGCCATCCCTGCCAGCTCCTGCTCACAGGGGGGACACTGGGGCTCTCGGGGAGCTGCTGCCTCCCCAGGCACTGCTGCACACCAAGTGGCACCAAACAACTTGATCCTCACCTTAATGTTTTCACTTCAGTAAGATTTCGGTTACACCAAAGGTATCATCTCCCACCCTAAAAATGGAGCTGTTGAATCCCAGCTGGCAGCACGAAGGCGGATGTGGACGTCTGCATTTATAAGCATTTAGAAAAATGTTATGGTTAAATGGCCCTCCTGCCAACCATCATGAGCTCAAAGGTGGCTTTTCCAGCCAGAATCAAAAGCAACACGTACTCACATACCACAAACTCTTCCCAGCCACGTCCCTTGCTGGGATCATCATACCCACTTTTCACAATGAAGCAAACCCTGGTATTTACACACATCGATTTTTCAGCTTATGCTACATAGAAAAGCTTTCCTATCTGATTGGCTTCCACTTCAATTTAGCTAGAAACAGAATATTTTCTTTATTATTTGGGCTGATTCACTCGAAGCTGAAAGGAGATCTGAGAACGTAAGGAAGCTTGTTTTCCTCCCCCAATCTATGAATAAAACCCTGGTGGGAAAGAAATGTGATTTCATTATTCTAAGAACCTGAGG